AGGTTAAAATATCCCACTCCTATTATTTTGTGGACAACTGTACATACCTACCTACATAAATCCAACGGGAAAAAGTCTGCAGAGAAGCAACCGAGTGAGTGAGCAACTTTGTATACAGTACCCGAAAAAAGCAGATTTGGAAACTTTTTTAATTATGCGACTGCACGACCGCCCGCCTGTCCGCTTAACATTGAGCGGCCTTTGAGTTATGTCAGCCGCATTTGCTGCATCACCACCGCATATGCATATACACTCTAAAAAAATTTTGTGTTACTTTTTAGGGTTTTAGGTTACTGATTTCCTACATTAATATTCGCGAAATTAAATGCTCGATTATTCAACGAATAGTTTGTTTAAATTTCGGACTTCTCAGAGAGTAATATAGTGGTGTGCGTAAATTTACTGCGAAAGTGTGTACAAGCTACAAAATACACATCTGCTGTACGATTTCACTCGTAGAATTGTGTAAAGCCACTAACAAAAAGAATTTTTACACATGAAAATGCGTAAACGAGAATAATACATATTTATCGTTTAATTTTACCAAAAAATTTTAAAAGTAAACAAAAATATACTCGATTTATAGTCGCATTTTTAAACAGATTTTTTAGAGTGCACTTCTGAACGTCTTGCTTTTGCTGTTGCCATTTCTCATTGTTGTTGCTGCTGTTACTGTTGCGGTGGTTGTTGCAGAGTAAATGCCAAAGAAACTCTGCAGGTCACAATAGAGGGTTGGAGCAAGCAGTTTCAGTTTCAACCCTCGCTTGTGCGCCTCATTCATTCGCTCTCTCACTCGCTCGCTCACACGCATTTAATTCATATGTGTTTTTGTATTGCGTTGCCTTTGGCTAAATGTTGCAGTGTGTGCAAATGGTAGCGGCGGAGTAACTGGTTGCCCGTTTGGCAGGCTTAAGCGATTGCTTGGTTGGTTGATGGACGCGATGACTGGGGGCTTCGACGGTGCTTGGCAAAGTTGATTCAGTTTCAAATGAGTATCCGTCGTGTAACAACGCAGAATCGGTGACAACGTGCAATGACACACACATAGATATACAACAAATCGGAGTTTCAAAGGCTAGATGGTTGTGAGCGAAAGAAAAAAAAACCAAGTGATTTTAATTATATTATTAACAAAAAACAAAGAAACTAAATAATTGTAATACGCACATACACACGTATACATACATATAACTATGTGCATATGCATATGAATGCAAGTTGTTGTTAGTGGGAAACGAATAAAAACTTACATAAAGAAGTCGTATATGTAAGCCTTGGACCCCTGTTCGTGTAGTATAAAAACCCTATTATCATAACAAGTTTTGCAAAATATTCAAGGCCTCGCACGTGTGAGAATATTTTAATGGAACTGCTAGTTCAAAAACGCACTAATCAACTCAGTGACTCTAAATTTGTATAAACGTTTTCTGTGCAAATTTTATTTTCGTCTTATTCGCCAGCAATTCTCTGGCTGCTCTACCGTCGGCAACAAAATGAGTCTACCCAGCGGCGTGGATATGCAAAATTTAATGTCTCAACATCCAGTTTTAGGCGCACTGCCGCCCGCCTTTTTTCTACGTGCCGCTTCTGAGCGTTATCAGCGAACACCAAAATGTGCGCGTTGTCGCAATCATGGAGTGGTGGGTGTAAAATTTATCTATTAATTTAAGGCTTTAATATGGAATTAAATACGGCTTATCGCTTTTGAGAGTCAGAAAACGTCGACAATCTGAAAAAGTATTTTAAAAAATTTTCAAACTTTGCTTTATCGATCAGTGTGGGTAAAGTTATATGAAAAAAATAAAATTTAAAAATAATTTTAAATAACATATTTAGTTTAGTAATATGTAAATGTTATCAACCAAACCCGATCTTAGGACAAACTAGTTTGTCTAGGTTAAACTAGATCACGTGCCAAAGTAATTTTTCAACGTAGGCGGCCTTCGGCCGCACTTCAAAAAAATAACCCTCATTAGTCCGACTCCAGCTACGCAGTCCACAATATTGTTGCATCCAAGTTGTTTCCGCGGTGGACGGATGTATCGGATATAGGTAAAACTAGTTTAGCCTAGGAAAAACTAGTTTGTCCTACCATCGGGTTTGACCGGTAACATACATATATACAAATACATGCATATACATATATGTATCCTGCAAAAAATGGGACTAATCCGGGATGACTCCGGGAGCAATCGCAAAGGAGCATGCGACTAATACCACTTTTGATCTCTCTATATGGAATGAACTGTTCGCTTTTGTTCGAGCATGTCCTATGAAAAGACTAATTGTTCACCTTTATACCCGAATGGGTATAAAAAGCGACTAGTCACTTTTAAAAAATATAAATAAAAATTTGCACCAGCTTAGATTCGAACCGGGTTGCTCAGTTTGGTTAGGCGAACACTCTCTCTGTGTGACAACGCCGCACATGAAATTTCATTGACTAAGTGCGTACATATCATTAAATCGTTAATAGTACCCGTTAGAGATGAGTTGAGGACTAATTGATCTCCAATTATACCCATAAGGGATGAGTCGCGACTAATTGACCTCCATTAATACCCGTATGAGACTAGTTGCGACTAATTAATGCCCAATTGTACCCGATTGAGAGTAATCTCGGAATACTCTCTTTAGAGATTAGTCGCACAATTTTTTGCAGGGTACATATGTAGGTATGTATGTATGTATGTATGTACTCGTATTTAATATCAAACATTTCACTTTGGGCATTTCTAAAGATTTGAACTATAACAAATTTCTTTGTTTTCACTTTTATTTCAACATATTTTGATTAACCGTCCTATTCCCACAACACTGACAACACTCAGCGGCTGACTATTGCCTTTACTACTGCGCCTAATACTATGCCGCAAATTTATTTTAAGCTCTCGTATGGTGACAATTGTCAGTGTGGTTGTTATGACCTACTGAGTATGCGACAACGGCGAATGTTTATACATATTGTGTTTTAGGCGCAATAATTGTGATAATAGTCATACGATGAATTTTGTCAGTGTTGTGGGAATAGGGCGGTAAAAGAAAAATACTGATAAAAATAAAATATTTCACACAAACAACAAAAAATATAATATATATATATAATCCCATAAGGCTATTGCCTGAAAATTTTAAAATGCACTTAGTGGCATTGTGCTGCTATGATAGCACGGCGGAGTAATCATAGTCAACTTATGTATAGTAGACTGCATCACTCCCCATACAAAATAAAATCGGTACTATTTTCCACTGGAATTATAAAATCTATTATATTTTATGACTTCCACCAAAATATCTCGCAAAAATACTAAGATTTACGTTAGGTGGACGGATTTGAAAATATCTGCAAAAATTGAGTTTTTTTTTGTTAATAAAAACATATTTTTTTTAATATTTTTTGAAAAATGACCTCAGATGACTAAACAGTTTAAGCTTAAAAAGTTTGCATACGATTATTAAAAAAAAAATTCTACAGAAACATAACAATGAAATTTTTGATGTTGTTTTTGAACTTTTGTCAAAGACTAGTTTAAGAAAAACTTGAATAACTCAGTCAAAACCATACCAATTTAGACTTATCAGGTATCATTAGTAAGGTATTTTCTCACCCTTTTAATTTCTTTGTGAATAAGCTCATTCAAAATATGAAAGAGGAAGTTAAAATAAACGAATGTCATTCCATGCTGATTTAAGAAGTAATGGTATTTGATAAGGAAAAAATTGGGACGTGAATGCGTGTTTTGCAAAGAAATGAAAAGTGTGAGAAAATACCTTTCCAGTTATATATCATAAGTCTATATCGGTAAAGTTTTGGAGCAGTTATTCAAGTTTTTCTTACACAAATCAGTGAAAAAGGTTAAAAAACAGCATCAAAAATCTTATTATTATGAATCCGATGATACAATTTTTTAATATTTTTATGTAGACTTTTACTTAAACTATTTTGTCATTTAAGGGGAGTTTTTACAAAAAATCCTTTAAGAAACTATTTTTATTCATAAAAAACCTCATTTTTATAGGTATTTTCAAACCCGTCCAGCTCACGTAAATCTTGATATTTTTCCGAAATATTTTGGTAGAAGTCTTAAAATATACTAGGTTTGGTAATGCCGTCAGAAAAACCGCAACTTTTTTACCTTTTACCTTTATAGGTTTGCAACTCGCAAAAACATCGATGTTGAGAAAAAAACCTTGATGTTAACTGCTTATATAAAAACATCGATTCATCGATGTTTCCATCGATACCCAAATAATTTTCTTTATCCCAATCACGAAAATTAATTCGTTGAAAATTTTCAGTAGAACATCGTTGTATTGTAGAAACCTTTTGACAAAAAAAAATGTTCCCAATTTTTTTATTTTGTACCAATAGAGCAATATAAAAATTTACAAATCTGTACAAATGTACCAATCAAGTGTCACTGTCTTAGAAATTTATACAATAAAAAACAAAAATCAACAAATTTTCGTTTTTTAATTAGATTCTGAGTATGTAGTTTTGTAGCCAATTGAATTCTAGTAGAATAAAATACAAGTTTTGAAATGGCTAAAAATTAGGATTGATTTTTTAGAATTTTTAAATAGCTCGATATTTGTACGAAAGTTTGTTGATTTTTTTAATATGTATTGCGCAAAGTTGGAAACTTGGATTTACACGGGTTTTGTTGAAGAATGAACTATATTTTTATAAGAAAATAACCAAAATTAAATAACAACAAAAATAATACTTTAAAACTTGAAAAAAGTGGTTCGGCTAAAATTTTTCCACCACTGCATGTATTTTTTAATATTTTTAATTGGACATGCACATTGTAAATAAAGGAAGTACATAACACAACTAAAAACAATATCCTTTTTTGCCTTTTTCAAAGCTCATTTTGCCTTTATTCATGTTTTTAGTGCTTTAAAATCCTACATTGCTACATTTCGGGAGGAGGGGGAGAAGGGGGCCTGGGGGGAGTCAGAACACCTACAACCTCCTCCCCCCTAAATATGACCTTGCCCTAAAGTTCACAATGTGGTCAAAATTGCCTCTAAGTCAGTGGGAAATTTAGTATATGGGTGTTTCCATCGGAAGGTCCACCACGACAAAAAAAAAATGAAAATCTTATATCTAACGTATTTACGGGCCGATTTGTCTGCTTTTTAAAATATATACTGGCTATGTAAGTAGAATCATGTTTGCGTAAAATGGTCTTCCTAGGTGGCGCCAAGGTTGAGATATTTCGAAAAACCGTATTTATGGTCCGATTTGGTTCGAATTTGGCGTATGTAGTTGAAACATAGTAAGTCATAGATTTCCAACAAATTCACCCTGAATTGTCGCTAAAGTCAAAATATAAAGTATATTCTACATAAAAACAACTAGAATTGCTCCAAATCATATTAAAATAAGTTTCATGAAAATAGCCTTCCACAATTCGCAGAGTTTTGCGATTTTGTAAGAAAAGAAAAAAATCTACTTCCATTTTTTGTCACGTAACGACACTCACTTTAAATGCATATATTTTAGGACCAAGCAGTTCGATTGTTTTCATTTTTCGGTTAAGCATAGAGCTAATTATGTGCTATACAATGGCTGAAAAAAGTTAAAGAAAACAAATGGTACTCCTTGTTTGTTTCACATCGAAACGTACGACTGTCACGTATGCGACGTATGGAAATACCCATATATTGAATACTTGCGCCGGGTACTTTTCGGGGCGAATTTTTCAGCGGAAATGTGTCATAAAGATATAATTTAATATGGAAATCGATCTTTCAATTAATGTAACTTGATAATATATATTTTTTTAAACAACAAAAATTAGTTCAGCGTTATCAATAATTTTCAGCTCGGAGATCAACGAAGCCTATAACCGGAATATTTTGAATTTCACTGAATGTGCATGAAGAGACATGCAAAAATTATCTTTTTAATTAACATTGATTTTGGTGCTCCCAAACGTTATTTTATCATTATTTTTATGAAATTTTACATAACACACTGTAACTGTGAATATTTCAGAAAAATAACTTTCTTGTTTTTTGGTTAGTACTGTACCATACAAACTCAATGTACTAGATACTTTGTTCTTCCTACAATTTTTATTTTGCCATTAATTAGCACCACAAACAAAAAATTTGGTACGATTTGTCCCGAACCAACGATGGTATGCTCCCAGTGTTGCCACAAAAAAAACCCATTTTCCTCAAAAACAAATGAAAAATCCTCAAAATCCGAACAAATAGCTCAACATTTTTTATTACAGATATGAGTGTTGTGTACTTGGTTCTTGCGGTTCAAACAAAGTATCACCGTTATTTTTTATGCCTTGGTTTGTATGTAATATTGCTGCAACTATATCAGTGCTCAATCTGGTCCTCAAGTCAGTCCTACACAGTTTTAAACTACTAAATATAAGTTATATTGAAGCATTAGAAAAGGGCTATATTAGTAAAGCAGATATAATTTTTTTAATTGGGAAACTTATATGAACCTGAAAAATCTATTAATTCAAAAACTTTTTTCCTATAATTTTCTGGATCTAATGAGGAATCAATATGAATATCCTCGTGATCGAACAATGCGTGTTCTCTCTATTCGTTATCGAGATGTTGCAAGTTCAATATAAGATGAAAATATAACGATGGAATGCAAAGAATTATCGATAACATTTTGAATATTTAGCATCAAATGCAGATATGCTTAAGATCGAAAAACACCACACAAGCGGCTAGAAAATCTAAGCGAAATATCCCTTTGCTTAAACAAGAATAATAGAATACAAGATTGGGCCAATCGAGCTGAGAGCAACTGGGTGCGACGTCACATTATTATGAGAACGAGAGTGTAAAGAATAATTTTGAAGAAGAAGAGGAAGAAGCAAACAAGTGGTGCGAAATAGTGATGTAAAACTAGGTTGAATTGTACCTACTCTTAAGCTTCTTAAATTTGAGCGTACATTCGGTACAAGCGCATTATTTTAGATACATTTGGAACGTAGTCAAATATTGTTTTATCTAAGTCCGAAAGTTGATATAGTGCAGAAGGAAAGTTGTAGTCTACCAACTATCAAAAATGTATGCACATAAAAATACATGTTTACTGTTTAGATATGTGTATCTACATTTAGGTATAACTTTTCGGCAAATAGGTACAATATGAAAATGTAATATTTATCACTGGTGCGAAAAAATAATAATGTGACGTCAGCGAAAGGGTGGATGCTGTCAAATCGAGAAAGAGAGGATTAGCGGTCCGCGGAAGGCGCCACTTTTGTTTCGCTGCATCGTGTTGCTTAAAGCTAATTATAGTTGTGTTTTTTTACAAATTATCCAGTAACTTGACAGCAACTCTCCAGTACCTTTATTTCTAAGAATTCGCTCTCATTAAAAAAAAATTTGCAAAAAAGTACGTGAACGCTTTTCCAGTAATAATTTGCAAGTTTCATGAACAGCTGATAAATTGGTTGTTTATTCGCAGCAAATTCCTAATAAAACAATATATTTTGTATTTAAATAGGTTTATTTTGTTAATTTCAACAATAAACCCCCACAAACAGTTTCCTTATTAGTTTAAATTTCATCCAGCAACATGCGATCAGCTGTTTTTCGTACTGGCAAATTCTTACAAGTAAAAATTTATCCAGTAAAATCCAGTAAAAACTTGCAACTTCAACTGTCATTTTTCGCTCTTTCAATTTCCCCTACTTTGCAAGTTTTTGCGTACGAAAACGCCAAAACATGAAAATTCGTAAAAACTTTTTCTGGATTTTACTGGAAATGAGTAAAAAAACGCAACTTATGTTGTGTATGGGGGTGTTTGAAGGTTTGACAAGCCGTTTGAGGGAAATGTGAACAAAAATTAATTTTTTTTTTTTCTGGCTGCCATGTTGACGTTTGATCAAACCGCTTACGTTGTGTATGATAAAATCGCCTCATTCGCAACGGAAATTTTACCGAATGAGGACGCAAGCGAGAAAAATCTAAGAAATCCAAACCCTTTTACATTGTGACCCGGAAGGAAACTAAAATTCTTTACTCGAACGAGTCATATTTGCATGGAGTATGGCGAAATGGGAAAAGTAGGTTTGAAGAACGTTTGACAAGCCGCTTGTGTGGTGTATTTCGCTCTTTTTAACAACTCTGCAAATATATCGAGATAAAATTCCTCAAAATAAAAGTCCTCAAAAAATACTCAAGCGCACCCGAAATTCCTCACGTTTTGAGGAATTACTCACAAAGTGGCAACACTGAATGCTTCTTATGTTATTTTATTGAAGTTGAAAATACATATTGAACTTGAGCCATGAATAGAAAGTGCACCAAAGACAGCGCTTTGAATGAAGCTTGTTCATTAGGTTTTTCAAATTATAAAGTTCTGAACACATTGAAAACGACGAGCTACGGGCCACAGCTTTCACTTTGTTATCTTCATTATCTAAAAGCTTTGTCGATGGCGACATGATTTTTTTGAACGCGGCAGCGACATCATGAATTTGTATGAGTTTGACATAAAAGAAGAGGAAGAACCTTATCTGTCGCCGGAAAAATAGAAATAGATCTAATCTGGCTACAACCACAGCCGTCGCGTAGCCCGGTCGTCGCCAAAATAATTATCTACATAAGAGAACGTGTTAAAATAATTTGACAGCTGTAGTCCGTAGCTCGTCGTTTTCATTGTGTTCGGGCTATAATATTTCCAAGTACCAACAATTTGCAGTTCGCTACTTAAGTCTTTCGTTTTTTTACAAGATCGAACTCCAAGGAAGAAGACTAGAAGAACAATAATCGAATGGAGGTCATGGTAAATTTCACTCTTAACACGATTTTTGTCGAAACATTTTCCGTGGGATGATTAATGGAAAATTAGATATAGTTCTAAAGCTCAAGCTCCATAAGCTCTCGAAGTCGTTCAGCCTTTTTAGGTTTCACAAGCCATTTTCGCGCTTGTCATTTCTCCACTATGTTTATGACTATGAAGTCGCTACAGAAATCTTATCGAACTCCTTATTTTCTAAAAATCTATTTGGATTTATGCTACGATAATTATGAACAGTTTGTGAACGAGACTTACACAAACGGCTTTAATTCGGGAGTGCATTTGGAAGTGTAAAAATAGTACTACTATAACTGGGGAAAAATATCCAATAGTTTTTTTTTTTATTTAATGGAACGTTAAATAATTACTTCGCTAATTTTTGAACTTCCGAAAATATTCTTTCACATTTGCTGTGGAATGCAAAGGACAGTTAAGACTATTTGTATCAAATGAGGAAACTCTGCTACTACATCATCCCGTTTCATTTAAAAATTTATTTGAAAACAACCTAAAGAGAAATTGTAAATCAATCCATAAATTCGGAAGTATCTAAAAAAATGTAATTTGTGCTTGTCTAAAAACTGCAAATTACAGTTAAAACTGTGAACCTGTCAGCATTGCATCTGATAAATAAGCGCGCCTGGTGTTGGTATCTCTTCTTCTGGCATATATAAATTTGATGCGCTAGAGAGAGATAAGCACACAAGCAAAAAGCTCAACGCGCTAGGTTGGATATAGCTATCTAATTGGGCATTTAACCTAAAATATTTCATTGACAAAGTTGGGCAATAAAAAGTTGGGCATAAATAATTTCCACCAGGGTTTTAATTTACAAAAGGTTGTGTCATACCAAAATATCATGTAGAAACAAACTCAATGACTACATATTTGATACTGTCCACGAAGTCAATAAATTATTTTTCGTTTAACGCCCAGAAAAAAATGCTAATGCTAAAGGACGGAAAATTTAATAGCCAAGTTCGACATTAAACAATATTTATATCAAAACTTTAGTGTTATTTATCATTAATCTTTCCTTCGGGCGTTAAGTCTGAGTGGTTAGAAGTGCGCACTACCCCTCCGTAGGATCTGGGTTCTATCTCAGGTCCGGAAAGTAACTAAATTAGAAAGAGTTTTAATAGAAGGTAAAGGGCAAACATTTTTTATATATTTATGATTTATACATTACTTATACTTAGAGAAAATCGGTATATTTACGAGATTTGTGTCGTTACGAGGCATTTACGTGTTTAGAAGAAATACCCATATTATTTCCATATTAATTTGTTATATCACTACCCCAAATTTGGATAAAAATCTATAGCCACCTCACGTTTAATCGTAAGATTTTTCTATTTAACATGTTTGTAAATCATTTTAGCCCTCCTATCATCCTTAGTAAACATGCAAGGAATTACTTCAAAATAAGGAACAAAAGGACCCAATGTAGTAGAAATAATGAGGTTCAAATATTCCTTGAAAAAATTGATTAAGTCTAATGTTACAAAATTTACTAAAAAGTAGAAACTTACCAACGCAGTAAAACATTGTTTTGATGAGATTTAAGGCCTTACTAAGTATTATGTATGATACTCCAGTGTTATCAGTACCGAACTCTAGTTCAAAATGAAAATTTTGCAAAGATAATTTTTATTCAATTTTTCATTGTTTTTTGACTGAAAAATGCAGTCCTTTTTTTTGCGAAAATGATTCGTTGTAGTTTCATAATAGTGAATCGTGTTTTATGATCTTGCTTACTTATTTTTATTTTTATTATGACATAAGTGGTCATTGAACCCACTGAAACCAACCGAACCGAATCGCACTTCAGAGGTACCCGCGTGTGATTTGAAGCTCTTCTTCAAATTTTGAAATAAAAAGTATTCTATGTTACAGTATTACCAAGAATTAAAAGAAAAAAAATCGTTTTGTATACACCAGACCAGAAGTAAATGACCTCGATATTTAACATTCAAGAAAGCATAAGTAGTTTTATGACTAATAGCCTTACAATTTTTGTTGAGAAAAATCCATTCCAAAAGATTTAAGAAATTTCGGGTGAACAGATGTTTAAAAAATTGAAGTCGGTGTAGCAAAAATTGAAACGGAAGGATCTTTCTCCAAACAGTTATAGTTAGAATGCGAATGATAAACTTCTGGAGTATATGGGTCCCTTTTATTATGTGTCTATAATAAAATTTTTGTATACCTGAACTTAGAGCGTAGCAAGCTACTCTGGGTATACGCTAGTGCTATGTAGTGCATAGACACTTTATTATTATTTTTAAACAATTTGCTTTTTCTTTTATCTTCCAACAGGTTAGCGCACTTAAAGGACATAAGCGTTATTGCCGTTGGCGAGATTGCGTTTGTGCGAAATGCACATTGATTGCGGAGCGACAACGCGTTATGGCCGCACAGGTACGCATTAAGGTCGATTCACAACTAACAGCACGGAACGATGCGTTACAATACTTTAGAAACTGCTATCAAGTAAATGAAATGTAACAACGAAACCAAAAACAAAAATGTAGAAATCATAATTCGCACTCAGCGGCAGCGAAGTGCAAAGGAAGCATTAGCAAAAACTTTACTAATTGAAAAGAAAAATAAATTACAAAACAACTTTTTGAATATAAATAATTTGATGTAGAAATTATCCAACAATGATAGACGTTTAAAATTAACTGTTGAAGGGCTTTGCTTTGCCAAATATTTATTGGAAAAAAAAACTAATAGCATACCATTTTCTGTGCTGTCTCGTGCCGTTCTGTGCCCTGCCAGTGGGTGTGAATCTATGTACACATATATGCAACTTTGCACTCTATTATTAACAAGCACACTTCTACCTTTTCCACTTAAGCCAAATATAATTTCTTTACTTCTACCTACCCGTTTTGTTTCGCTCTACTTCAGGTCGCACTGCGTCGCCAACAAGCACAGGAGGAGAATGAAGCTCGCGAATTGGGTCTACTCTACACCAATGTACCGCCTGGGCAGCAGAATGGCGTCGAAGGTGGCGGTGGCGGCGGTGTCGGCGTCCCACCAAATCCACACAGCCCCCCGCCACCGTTGACAAATGCCTCCGGCGCCTTTCATACCGGCATTCCCTCCCCGCCCAGCGATGGCTTGGACACCAGTAACGGTCAACGTATGCAGTACAATGGCAATGAATCCGATACAGATGTGCGAATGCGTTCTTCAGAACGTCTTTCGATGGGCTATTCGCCGGATCGCAGCACCGAAGTGGAGAGTCCAGGTGAGTTGTAGTGCAACGAAATGAATAGTGACAAAAAGTGAAGGAAAAGCTGACGCTAGGAGTGGTATGGCAGGGAAAAGGTGTCCCAAATGACGTGCAATGTTGCATGTACATTTTATGACACTTTCCTGTTCTACTTGTTGCTATTGTTGTTCGTGAGGTTGATGCCATTGTTGTACTTAAGCGGTGAAGTGTGTTTGCGCGCACTTTGGCGACTTCCGCGCAAGAAAACCATTAAAGGCCAGCAAAAATTATAGCAATACGTTTATTTTAAATAACGAAAACGCTTGAACGCTCAGTGTGCGTTGATGGAAGTGCAGCGGTGCATTGAGTGCTTATTCGAGTGGGCGCGTGTTTGTGCGCCTGAAGTTTAATGCGCCAATTGTGGCAAAATCGAATAAAATGTGGAGGCTTTTTGGCACTGTTGTGTGGATGTGCAAAAAGAAGGCGTAGAGAAATTTGTTGATTTAAAAACTCAAATGGAACGTCCTACTTTCCCTGCAAAGTTATATTAAACCGAGCGGTATCTAACTAGATTTTGTGTTAAATATACATATGTACATATTTGCCGTTGTTCGATTTTCTACTTCTTTTTTGGCTCTGTAGCCGCCTAAGCGATTTTGGCCGAGTTCAACAAAGCACAGCAGTCGTTTCTCTTCTGTGTCAGCTGATATCCATTGGAAATGGCAAGTGAAGCCCAGTCCTTCTCCACCTGGTCTTTCCAACGCATAGCAGCCTTCTTCTTCCTCTGTTGCCAGCATCGCGGCCCGTGTTGACTACTTTCAGAGCTGGAGCGTCCGTGTCGATTCGAACGACCTAGCCAGCGCAGCCGCTCAATTTTTATTCGTTGCACTATATCTATATCCATGATTCAAAAATACAAGGTTCGATAAACTGACAGTTGTCTCTCTCGCACCGCTCCCTTAGCAGTGGCACCGTGTTGCTTCTTTGCAAATTTACATGGAAACAGTGTAGCTTTGGTGTGAAATAAAAGTATAAGCTTTTGTGCAATATTTTTATTTGTATATGTATATGAAGCATATTTAACTGATGAAAACATAAGCATTGGATGTTTACATCAGTCTCATAGTAGTCTTATTTTAATTTTGAGTCATTTTGCAGTTTTTATACGGCTGAATAGCATATAAATTACTTAATTCACGTAGATATATCAATATTACGTTCAACATTTCGTTTAAAATGTCAGATTTCCTGCAAATATATTAGAATTTACGAAAGGAATTTCACTACTAATTGCCTACTTTGCGTACTTTTCTACTACCATTTTCGAAACAAGGGATTGCATTCTTGCCCTTTCTCTGTCCTCCGTAAATGCAACCTTTTGTAAGGGAGTGTCAAACCGCAGCTGTCAATAATTATCTAACCTTGTATTATTGAATCATGTATATCAGTACAATTGGTGAAGCATCTTCTGATGCCAAGCCATCATACATATATATGTATGTACTATATCTTTTCGTATAGACGGAAATCTTTGTTTGTAATTAAAAAATTTAAGATTATTGTTAATTTCTTCATGATCCGATAACACCTTTCCTTTAAAAAAATGATTATAGAAATGGGTTATGCAGTAACATACATACATAAAAAAAATCGAAAAAAATATTCCCACAAATTGATAACCTTTCTCCCTTTTGTCAAGTAATTAGTTAAGTAATTTTTATAAGGCCATAAAATAACAAGAAAAAAAACAGATTATTGGCATATTCAATTTATACTTTTCAAGTGAATTTCGTTTTTTTTTTCGAAACATTTTTTTTTTTTAATTTTCCTGTATTAGTTGTGTTCCTTTCTCACATTTTGTTTTTATTACTCTTTTTTGTTTCTCACTCACATCGACGTTTTATCTTTCGATAGAAATTAGCCATAAATTCGCGATTTTTGCAATTCCAGGTAAGCAAGTCGCATTTTTTTCAGTTAAACCTTACACACTTCGATTTCATAGGAAGAGTGGCTCGTATTTGGAAGTTTTTCCAAAGAAATTTGAGCACAGCAAAGAGTAAAATCTCTTCAAAGGCCATATCTCTAGGTAACCAAATTAAGAAGCGGCAAACAATAGCCAACATCACAAAAAACATTTGCGGACAGTTCACAAAAATGAGAGGAAAATTTAACTTAAAGAGCTGGTTGAATTTTACACTTATAGCAAAACCCAATAAACACTGCCGAGCTTACTACAGAGGAAAAGTGAATATTGTTACTTAGACGGATCATACAATGATCTTGCAATTGCATTGATCAGCATTGATCCGGATCAACTCGGGAATTAACTGCAGTTGATCCGGATTAAGTCCGAGTTAAATGCAACAAGTTCTAAGCTCACTCGTTTGCAAATTGTACAAATACACTTTCTCTACAATACTTGTAAATTAAAGTAAGCAGCAAGAGCATTAAATTATGGAGTTATGCAAACTGCGGTTGGTGTCTTTCCATTTTATCAAAACTCATACATATTTGTGTATGTATTTCAAACGCATCGTTCAATTATAAATTTATCATCCCAGTAATCCGTGTGCTCAGACATCTTATGCGTGCATTACTGCTTTGGTATTTGATATATTTGAGTAAGAAAATATTTAGACTTGTGACAATTTTATTTTTTTTTTTTTAATAAGAGAATGTAATAAGCGTAAGCATATGCCATGCTTA